TCCTGTCACCATCCTTGTGTCTGTCACCATCCTTATCTCTGTCACCATCCCTGTCTCTGTCACAATCCTTGTCTCTTGTCACCATCCCTGTCGCCATCCTTGTGTCTGTCACCATCCTTATCTCTGTCATCATCCCTGTCTCTGTCACAATCCTTGTCTCTGTCACCATCCCTGTCTCTTGTCACCATCCTTATCTCTGTCACCATCCCTGTCTCTGTCACAATCCCTGTCACCATCCTTGTCTCTGTCACCATCCTTATCTCTGTCACCATCTTTGTCTCTGTCACCATCCCTGTCATCATCTTTGTCTCTGTCACCCTCCCTGTAACCATCCTTGTCTCTGTCACCATCCCTGTCTCTGTCACAATCCCTGTCTCTTGTCACCATCCCTGTCACCATCCTTGTCTCTGTCACCATCCCTGTCACCATCCTTGTCTCTGTCACGGTCCCAGTCACTATCTTCGTCCCCTGTCACCACCCCCGTCTGTCACTATTTTTGTGTCTGCCATCATCCTTGTCTGTCACCAACCCTGTCTCCGTCACAATCCCTGTCTCTGTCACCATCCCTGTCACAATCCCTGTCTCTTGTCACCATCCTTGTCTCTGTCACATCCCTGTCTGTGTCACCATCCATTTCCCTGTCACCATCCCTGTCTCTGTCACCATCCTTGCCTTTGTCACCATCCTTGTCTCTGTCGCCATCCTTATCTCTGTCACAATCCCTGTCTCTTGTCACCATCCCTGTCACCATCCTTGTGTCTGTCACCATCCCTATCTCTTGTCACCATCCCTGTCTCTTTTCAACATCCCTGTCTCTTGTCACCATCCTTATCTCTGTCACCATCCCTGTCTCTGTCACAATTCCTGTCACCATCCTTGTGTCTGTCACCATCCTTATCTCTGTCACCATCCCTGTCTCTGTCACAATCCTTGTCTCTTGTCACCATCCCTGTCGCCATCCTTGTGTCTGTCACCATCCTTATCTCTGTCATCATCCCTGTCTCTGTCACAATCCTTGTCTCTGTCACCATCCCTGTCTCTTGTCACCATCCTTATCTCTGTCACCATCCCTGTCTCTGTCACAATCCCTGTCACCATCCTTGTCTCTGTCACCATCCTTATCTCTGTCACCATCTTTGTCTCTGTCACCATCCCTGTCATCATCTTTGTCTCTGTCACCCTCCCTGTAACCATCCTTGTCTCTGTCACCATCCCTGTCTCTGTCACAATCCCTGTCTCTTGTCACCATCCCTGTCACCATCCTTGTCTCTGTCACCATCCCTGTCACCATCCTTGTCTCTGTCACGGTCCCAGTCACTATCTTCGTCCCCTGTCACCACCCCCGTCTGTCACTATTTTTGTGTCTGCCATCATCCTTGTCTGTCACCAACCCTGTCTCCGTCACAATCCCTGTCTCTGTCACCATCCCTGTCACAATCCCTGTCTCTTGTCACCATCCTTGTCTCTGTCACATCCCTGTCTGTGTCACCATCCATTTCCCTGTCACCATCCCTGTCTCTGTCACCATCCTTGCCTTTGTCACCATCCTTGTCTCTGTCGCCATCCTTATCTCTGTCACAATCCCTGTCTCTTGTCACCATCCCTGTCACCATCCTTGTGTCTGTCACCATCCCTATCTCTTGTCACCATCCCTGTCTCTTTTCAACATCCCTGTCTCTTGTCACCATCCTTATCTCTGTCACCATCCCTGTCTCTGTCACAATTTACTGTCACCATCCTTGTGTCTGTCACCATCCTTATCTCTGTCACCATCCCTGTCTCTGTCACAATCCTTGTCTCTTGTCACCATCCCTGTCACCATCCTTGTGTCTGTCACCATCCTTATCTCTGTCATCATCCCTGTCTCTGTCACAATCCTTGTCTCTGTCACCATCCCTGTCTCTTGTCACCATCCTTATCTCTGTCACCATCCCTGTCTCTGTCACAATCCCTGTCACCATCCTTGTCTCTGTCACCATCCTTATCTCTGTCACCATCTTTGTCTCTGTCACCATCCCTGTCATCATCTTTGTCTCTGTCACCCTCCCTGTAACCATCCTTGTCTCTGTCACCATCCCTGTCTCTGTCACAATCCCTGTCTCTTGTCACCATCCCTGTCACCATCCTTGTCTCTGTCACCATCCCTGTCACCATCCTTGTCTCTGTCACGGTCCCAGTCACTATCTTCGTCCCTGTCACCACCCCCGTCTGTCACTATTTTTGTGTCTGCCATCATCCTTGTCTGTCACCAACCCTGTCTCCGTCACAATCCCTGTCTCTGTCACCATCCCTGTCACAATCCCTGTCTCTTGTCACCATCCTTGTCTCTGTCACATCCCTGTCTGTGTCACCATCCATTTCCCTGTCACCATCCCTGTCTCTGTCACCATCCTTGCCTTTGTCACCATCCTTGTCTCTGTCGCCATCCTTATCTCTGTCACAATCCCTGTCTCTTGTCACCATCCCTGTCACCATCCTTGTGTCTGTCACCATCCCTATCTCTTGTCACCATCCCTGTCTCTTTTCAACATCCCTGTCTCTTGTCACCATCCTTATCTCTGTCACCATCCCTGTCTCTGTCACAATTCCTGTCACCATCCTTGTGTCTGTCACCATCCTTATCTCTGTCACCATCCCTGTCTCTGTCACAATCCTTGTCTCTTGTCACCATCCCTGTCACCATCCTTGTGTCTGTCACCATCCTTATCTCTGTCATCATCCCTGTCTCTGTCACAATCCTTGTCTCTGTCACCATCCCTGTCTCTTGTCACCATCCTTAACTCTGTCACCATCCCTGTCTCTGTCACAATCCATGTCACCATCCTTGTCTCTGTCACCATCCTTATCTCTGTCACCATCTTTGTCTCTGTCACCATCCCTGTCATCATCTTTGTCTCTGTCACCCTCCCTGTAACCATCCTTGTCTCTGTCACCATCCCTGTCTCTGTCACAATCCCTGTCTCTTGTCACCATCCCTGTCACCATCCTTGTCTCTGTCACCATCCCTGTCACCATCCTTGTCTCTGTCACCATCCCTGTCTCTGTCACAATCCCTGTCTCTTGTCACCATCCCTGTCACCATCTTTGTCTCTGTCACCCTCCCTGTCACCATCCTTATCTCTGTCACCATCCCTGTCTCTTGTCACCATCCCTGTCACCATCCTTGTCTCTGTCACCATCCTTGCCTTTGTCACCATCCTTGTCTCTGTCGCCATCCTTATCTCTGTCACAATCCCTTTCTCTTGTCACGATCCCTGTCACCATCCTTGTGTCTGTCACCATCCCTATCTCTTGTCACCATCCCTGTCTCTTTTCAACATCCCTGTCTCTGTCACCATCCCTGTCTCTTGTCACCATCCTTGTCTCTGTCACAATCCTTGTCTCTTGTCACCATCCCTGTCTCTTGTCATCATCCCTGTCTCTGTCACCATCCCTGTCTCTTGTCACCATCCTTGTCTCTTGTCACCATCCTTGTCACCATCCCTGTCTCTTGTCACAATCCTTGTCTCTTGTCACCATCCCTGTCTCTTGTCACCATCCTTGTCACCATCCTTGTCTCTGTCACCATCCTTGTCTCGTGTCACCATCGTGGTCTCTTGTCACCATCCCTGCCTCTTGTCACCATCCTTGTCTCTTGTCACCATCCTTGTATCTTGTCACCATCCCTGTCTCTGTCACCATCCTTGTCTCTGTCACCATCCCCGTCTCGTATCACCATCGTGGTATCTTGTCACCATCTCTGTCTCTTGTCACCATCCCTGTCTCTGTCACAATCCTTGTCTCTTGTCACCAGCCCTTCTCTTTTCAACATCCCTGTCTCTTGTCACCATCCTTATCTCTGTCACCATCCCTGTCTCTTGTCACCATCCCTATCTCTTGTCACCATCCCTGTCTCTGTCACCATCCCTGTCTCTTGTCACCATCCTTGTCTCTGTCACCATCCTTGTCTCTTGTCACCATCCCTGTCTCTTGTCATCATCCTTGTCTCTGTCACCATCCCTGTCTCTTGTCACCATCCTTGTCTCTTGTCACCATCCTTGTCACCATTCCTGTCTCTGTCACCATCCCTGTCTCTGTCACCATCCCCGTCTCGTGTCACCATCGTGGTCTCTGTCACCATCCTTGTCACCATTCCTGTCTCTGTCACCATCCTTGTCTCTTGCTACCATCCCTGTCTCTTGTCACCATCCTTGTCTCTGTCACCATCCTTGTCACCATTCCTGTCTCTGTCACCATCCCTGTCTCTTGTCATCATCCCTGTCTCTGTCACCATCCCTGTCTCTTGTCACCATCCTTGTCTCTGTCACCATCCTTGTCTCTTGTCACCATCCCTGTCTCTTGTCATCATCCCTGTCTCTGTCACCATCCCTCTCTCTTGTCACCATCCTTGTCACCAATCCTGTCTCTGTCACCATCCTTGTCTCTGTCACCATCCTTGTCACCAATCCTGTCTCTGTCACCATCCTTGTCTCTGTCACCATCCCCGTCTCGTGTCACCATCGTGGTCTCTGTCACCATCCTTGTCACCATTCCTGTCTCTGTCACCATTCTTGTCTCTTGCCACCATCCTTGTCTCTTGTCACCATCCTTGTCTCTTGTCATCATCCCTGTCTCTGTCACCATCCCTGTCTCTGTCACCATCCCTGTCTCTTGTCACCATCCCCGTCTCGTGTCACCATCGTGGTCTCTGTCACCATCCCTGTCTCTTGTCACCATCCTTGTCTCTTGTCACCATCCCTGTCTCTTGTCACCATCCTTGTCACCATCCCTGTCTCTGTCACCATCCCCGTCTCGTGTCACCATCGTGGTCTCTTGTCACCATCCCTGTTTCTTGTCACCATCCTTGTCTCTTGTCACCATCCATGTATCTTGTCACCATCCCTGTCTCTTGTCACCATCCCTGTGTCTGTCACAATCCTTGTCTCTGTCACCAGCCCTTCTCTTTTCAACATCCCTGTCTCTTGTCACCATCTTTATCTCTGTCACCATCCCTGTCTCTGTCACAATCCCTGTCTCTTGTCACCATCCCTGTCACCATCCTTGTCTCTGTCACCATCTTTGTCTCTGTCATCATCCCTGTCACCATCCTTATCTCTGTCACCATCCCTGTCTCTGTCACAATCCCTGTCTCTTGTCACCATCCCTGTCACCATCCTTGTCTCTGTCACCATCTTTGTCTCTGTCACCACCCCTGTCTCTTGTCACCATCCCTGTCTCTTTTCACCATCCCTGTCTCTTGTCATCATCCCTGTCTCTTGTCACCATCCTTGTGTCTGTCACCATCCTTGTCTCTTGCCACCATCCTTGTCTCTTGTCACCATCCCTGTCTCTGTCACCATCCCTGTCTCTTGTCACCATCCTTGTCTCTGTCACCATCCTTGTCACCATTCCTGTCTCTGTCACCATCCCTGTCTCTTGTCACCATCCTTGTCTCTTGCCACCATCCTTGTCTCTTGTCACCATCCCTGTCTCTGTCACCATTCCTGTCTCTTGTCACCATCCTTGTCTCTTGTCACCATCCTTGTCACCATTCCTGTCTCTGTCACCATCCTTGTCTCTGTCACCATCCCCGTCTCGTGTCACCATCGTGGTCTCTGTCACCATCCTTGTCACCATTCCTGTCTCTGTCACCATCCCTGTCTCTTGCCACCATCCTTGTCTCTTGTCACCATCCCTGACTCTTGTCATCATCCCTGTCTCTGTCACCATCCCTGTCTCTTGTCACCATCCTTGTCTCTGTCACCATCCTTGTCACCATCGTGGTCTCTGTCACCATCCCTGTCTCTTGTCACCATCCTTGTCTCTTGCCACCATCCTTGTCTCTTGTCACCATCCCTGTCTCTGTCACCATTCCTGTCTCTGTCACCATTCCTGTCTCTGTCACCATCCCTGTCTCTTGTCATCATCCCTGTCTCTGTCACCATCCATGTCTCTTGTCACCATCCTTGTCTCTTGTCACCATCCTTGTCACCAATCCTGTCTCTGTCACCATCCTTGTCTCTGTCACCATCCCCGTCTCGTGTCACCATCGTGGTCTCTGTCACCATCCCTGTCTCTTGTCACCATCCTTGTCTCTGTCACCATCCTTGTCACCATTCCTGTCTCTGTCACCATCCTTGTCTCTTGCCACCATCCTTGTCTCTTGTCACCATCCCTGTCTCTTGTCACCATCCTTGTCTCTGTCACCATCCCCGTCTCGTGTCACCATCGTGGTCTCTTGTCACCATCCCTGTCTCTTATCACCATCCTTGTCACCATTCCTGTCTCTGTCACCGACCTTGTCTCTTGTCACCATCCCTGTCTCTTGTCACCATCCCTGTCTCTTGTCACCATCCCTGTCTCTTGTCACCATCCTTGTCTCTTGTCACCATCCCTGTCTCTTGTCACCATCCCTGTCTCTTGTCACCATCCCTGTCTCTTGTCACCATCCCTGTATCTTGTCACCATCCTTGTCTCTGTCACCATCCTTGTCTCTGTCACCATCCCCGTCTCGTGTCACCATCGTGGTCTCTTGTCACCATCCCTGTCTCTTGTCACCATCCTTGCCACTATTCCTGTCTCTGTCACCGACATTGTCTCTTGTCACCATCCCTGTCTCTTGTCACCATCCCTGTCTCTGTCACCATCCTTGTCTCTGTCACCATCCCCGTCTCGTGTCACCATCCCCGTCTCGTGTCACCATCCCTGTCTCTTGTCACCATCCCTGTCTCTGTCACCATCCTTGTCTCTGTCACAATCCCCGTCTCGTGTCACCATCGTGGTCTCTTGTCACAATCCCTGTCTCTTGTCACCATCCTTGTCACCATTCCTGTCACTGTCCCCGACCTTGTCTCTTGTCACCATCCCTGTCTCTTGTCACCATCCCTTTCTCTTGTCACCATCCCTGTCTCTTGTCACCATCCCTGTCTCTGTCACCATCCTTGTCTCTGTCACCATCCCCGTCTCGTGTCACCATCCCCGTCTCGTGTCACCATCCCTGTCTCTGTCACCATCCTTGTCTCTGTCACAATCCCCGTCTCGTGTCACCATCGTGGTCTCTTGTCACAATCCCTGTCTCTTGTCACCATCCTTGTCACCATTCCTGTCACTGTCACCGACCTTGTCTCTTGTCACCATCCCTGTCTCTTGTCACCATCCCTGTCTCTTGTCACCATCCCTGTCTCTTGTCACCATCCTTGTCTCTGTCACCATCCTTGTCTCTGTCACCATCCCTGTCTCTTGTCACCATCCCTGTCTCGTGTCACCATCCTTGTCTCGTGTCACCATCCTTGTCTCTTGTCACCATCCCTGTCTCTTGTCACCATCCTTGTCTCTTGTCACCATCCTTGTCTCTTGTCATAATCCCTGTCTCTTGTCACCATCCCTGTCTCTTGTCACCTTCCGTGTCACCATTCCTGTCTCTGTCACCGACCTTGTCTCTGTCACCATCCCCGTCTCGTGTCACCATCGTGGTCTCTGTCACCATCCCTGTCTCTTGTCACCATCCTTGTCTCTTGTCACCATCCCTGTCTCTTGTCACCATCCTTGTGTCTTTCACCATCCTTGTGTCTGTTGTTTGTTTGTTTGTTGTAGAAAGATTCCAGGTCTGTAAATAATCTAGTCTGGACCAAATAATCCAGTGATTGACATCATGAGCATCGATGATTACTCACGCCTTGACACAGGTTAGCTGTACACAAGTAAAAATACCCCTTTATATCCGCTGGTTTCATATGTAGTTAATATTATATTACTTGCCATCTATTACCCGAATGAACAGGATGTGTAAGGTGACTGTCTATGATGTCACGTGACAAGGCGGCGCGCTGTTCATTGGCACAAGTGTTCTTTCTACATTGAGTGATACTTTTTTTCTTTTTTTTCTTTTTTTTACGTCGCAGTGAATATTCCACCCCTATGATGGCGGTCTGTGAACCAAGCAATCCAGTTATTGACATCATGAACATTGATCTAAGCAATTGGGATACGATGACATGCATCGCCTCTTGGGCTGCTAACGCATAGGTTAATACCAAAGTAAGGTTATTCGAATTGTGTCTCGATGGTTCTTTTTGTATGTGTTGCCTGCGACCTTTATCACTACCGCCTGACTTCCAACATTCAGCTGCCACGTTGCCATTATATGGAAAAAACTGTTAAACCAGCGTTAATCCAACGCGATCCCCGACTGATTCACGTTCTGTCAAATGATCAAGTTCATATTTGTTCATTGTTGGCCTGTAGTGCAAGTTGGTTTGTATCCAGGTATTGAGACTTAAAGACAGGGCTTTTGTATTGTTTTATTTGTTCTTTGACGCCGGTCGCAGCAATAGTCCAGTCCTTTTCACATCAATCTGTAGATAATCGAGCCAGGGACAGGCAAACCAGTGGCTGACAGCATGAAGCCGTCGAGGTACGTAATCCACAAATTGCCAAGAACCCTGATCACCATTTTAGCTCAAAGACAATATTTTGTCTATGAATGCCCAGTATTGGTTCGGGAAGTTGGGTTGCTGCATTTAGTGGAATAGGCAGTAAGTTCGTATTCTTTCCAGCCTTAACCTCACTCTCTCACTCACTCATTCATTCACTCACGCACTCACTCACGCACTCTGAGGCGCATAAGGTTGTGTCCAAACCTCCTCCCATCCTTCAGACCAGACTCGTGTGCAGTCTTGTGCTCAGACTGAATATTGGACTCCCACATCGACCATATTACCATGGCTTATAACCCGCGACGTCCTCATCCGGTATTATTGAGGAATTTAATCTGCCTACCTCGGGAGACTTGGCGTTTGTCAGGATAATACCTCAGCTGGCATTACTGATTTATTCATTATGCAAATCTGTCACCGTGAATGACGGGTGTTGCTTGCTCCTAAAACTACATTAATACTGAAATTATCAAATGAATTCTGTCATTCCCGTCATACAGCCTACTAATCTTAATTACCTTGACACCATGGAACCAGTTTGAAATATCCAACCCTTTTTTCAAACATAATTACATACTCGAAGCCACAGAGATTATAGTTTCATTTACTCATTGTCAAGATTTGCTTGGGACATGGTATATTGTTGAAAGTGACGATGCACCGCACACACTCGCTCACTTTGATATGTGCCTTTCAATGTAGCCTTATTTAATCGTGATTAAATCCATTCCTGTACCGTGTACACGTGCCCATCACCGTCATATTGTTGCAATACTACAAAAGTGGCAAACATCTCACCCTCGCTAGCTCCCACTTTCTCCTTTTAATTATATACAGTGAGTGAGATAGTTTGGTCTAAAGCCGCTTTTAACAGTAGTTCAGATGTATCACAGTGTTTTAACTTGATGTGGCATCCTGAAGAATTTAGAAGGTTACCACTTTGGCGGAACTGATCGAGCAAGGCATGGTGTGGAGAAAGACAGGCAAATCATCAGGGCGAAACTTGGATTTGAACCCACAACCATAGGGACACAAGTGTTCCAGACAATTGCGGTGCCTTAGAGTGAGTAAGTGAGTAGTTTAAAGCCGCGTTTAACATCACTCCAGTAATATCACGGCGTTTCAGCTTAGTGTGGGAGGAAAGCCCAAAAGTGATGCAGGTCTCAGACGTTTACTACTTTGGTGAAACCAACGAGCACGGGTATGGTGCTTACAAACCTAGAAACATAATCGGGACGAACCGGGATTTGAACCCACAATCATAGGTTTCTGGCGTGCCCAAGGGACGCAACTCTGAACAGCGAATCGCGGCGCCTTAGACGACTGGGCCACCTCGGCTGCCTTAAGTATATTCCCAGCAGTGATCGTCCGAAAGCTGAGGTTTCCGGATTAAGTGGATCCGGGTTTAACAGGTTTTATTGTTTTTCGTTGCTCACAAAATATGTTTGCAAACCCCTCGTTGTAATATGTGATATTGTTATGCTTTTGTTTTGCTGTTAGGTGTTGTGGTCAGGAAGGAACAGTAGAGGCGTGACGGTGGTCAGTGCTGACCCCACGGACCAGCAGATAGCCACAGGACACCAACGAGCGGAGGTTAGTACTTACTTCAAATCAATACCACATGCAATGGGTGTTCGTAAAAAACTGATTGCAAATCTCGCAGGATATAATCTAACATTCTTTAACAACAGTCAATACTCTCTCAGGGGATCGCCAAACTTTCAGAAGCGACCTCCTCCGAGAAAGACGCCAATTATCCCATCGGTGACGTCACGGCTCCATGAACGACGGGGTCTTAACTCCAGGTGGAAGACAGTTTGGAAGAGTGCTTGAAATACAGCGAGACGTTAACATATCAATTATATGGCTGGGGTGATTCGATCTTTTCACACGCGACAATGAAATCACAACCCTCGAAATAGAGGTCCTTTCATAATCTGTCTCCTTAGTCTGCCCTGTATCTGTTACAACGTCATCGAGCGCTCAGCACTAGCTGGGATCCACTTATAGATGCCTAACAAGCAATACTCAGATCAGAATTGCCCACTTTCAGAAGCTTCAGATTGCATATTTTGCTGTTGTTACTATACCTTAAATTTGTTAGTTAAATGAATGTTGATTAATGCCGCAATAATATTCCAGTTATATCACGTCGGCTGGCAATCCATTGCATAACTGCAAGACCAACGATCCACACCATGGGGCACAATGACACGTAATCAGAAAAAAGACGCGACAAAACCATTCCCATATCCTTAAGTGAGTGAGTGAGTT